TTTATAGGTCTTTTACGATTTAGTTCGTAAGCTTTATTTGTTTTTTTGAGTTGAGTAAAATAACTATTTAAATTATATGGATGATTTTAATTAATTTTTTATTTTTAATTCTCATATTAAAACAATTTAAAACAGTTATTCTTTTAGATATAATTTATTCAGATCACTTTAACAAGATTTAAATGTTAATTATGTTACTGATGATTAACTTACATCTATTACTGATTGCTGTCACTGCTGCTTCAGAGTTTCCTCATGCTTTTTGTAGTAATTTTCAGTGGTTCCTTAAACGATACAAATTAGTTCGTGGCTGATAAGATGTTGTGGTTTCTGCATTTTCTACTATCGCCAAAACTACTTTCGGCGGGCCTCCTTCGTTTTATCTCGCTCTTTAGCGTAGTTCGATACTATTGATGCTCTCAAACTGCACCCGAGTTGCCTCAGCCAACACGTTATGCCTTACGCGTATAAGGTACTCGCAAGTCGCGGAAGTCAAGAGTAAAATAAAACCTTAGAGGACAGGTGATAGACGTAAAAAGAGCGATTTTTCCTCTTGATGGTGAGGTTTTATAGCGTTAGAGCGAGTAAAAGAGGCCTTTGGTTGAATTAGGTCAACAAATAAGCGATGTTTTTGCAGACTGCGTTGACAGCAAAACAGTAGGCTTGCACGATGATGTTACATGTAATGATTATATATATTAGAAAATAACAATACAACAGTACCAATTTCATTTTTCTGACACGTGCGATTGAGTTTTTTGGATCAGAGATGATGAAAGCTCGTATCAGCAATAAAAGAACGCCAAATATAAGTTTAGGTGTGACAGTAAGTTTACAAATTTTGCAATTAACTCTTCTGGGGATTTCACAATAAATTTCGAGTACAATGAAATAATGTGTTATTTACAATTCTTAAATTGGTATACATTGTTAGAAATGAACAATCAATGCGTCAGTAAACTATTTATTTATACTCACAATACGATTTATGCATCCATACATGTTACGTATAATTTTAATACATACATGCATTTTCACAGCGAGGCTGGCCGTATTATATGTCAGCATATTATGTAACAGTCCTATCTAGGTAGTAGAGGTTTGTTGTGACGAGCCAAAGTGCTGCAACAACTACTGCCATCTTCAAAGGAGAAAAGTTTTTTTACCTGGCTATGGTTATAAAATAAGATATATTATTGGAAAAAACATGGAACTTGCTAAATATTCATCAAAACTTCGTTTGAACAGTTATATTGATATAAATCTGAATCTTTATTTAAACCTAAGTTTAATCTTGAAAACAATGAAGTTTTGAAGTGAAACTTTTTACGTCAGGCCATGAACAGCCACATGAGGGAGAATGCATTACGAAAAATCGTAACCACCCACCCTATGGCCCAAACCCTCTCTTCAATCTCCTCTCTTATATACTTCGTTTAATTCCATCTCTCTCTTTTGCAGCGCATGCCACTGTCCTGACTACTGCTATGTCTCTCTTTCTTTCAAATGTACGCCACTTGATTTCTTTCCTCCACGCTGATACTGTACCTATCTATGTTTACAAATATTATAGGTATCTTTGTGTGTTTTTACGCTACGACTAAACAGTGAACCGATGCGCTTGCTGAAGCTGAGGTATAAGTATGAAGAAAAGAGAAAAGAAGAGAAAAACAACAGCTGCACCTATACTCTATACTATAGGCAAAGTATAAGTATGTATTTTGTATACACGTATACATGTTGCACGTCCAGGTCATTTTATTTATGTTTATACGTATATATGTAAGTAAAATACGTGCGTAAAGTATTAAATATGTATAATACGACAATCTTACCTTTGAAAACAAGAAAATAGCTATATATCTATTGTTTTCCTTAATCTCAATTAGTTAGAGTAGATCACTTTACTTTTATGGTCGACAAAATTAAAAAAATCTTATTGGTCGGATACAAAAATTTAAACAAGAATTTATAGTACATATACGATCTCATATCAAATACACAAATAGTAATTTTAAATAAAAGGAATTTTTGTCCTGCGTAACTAGACAAAAGTACCTTTTTTCGGGGTAGTATAGGGAATACTTCTGTTTTGTTCTGCATGACATGACCAACAATTCGTACAAATATTAATACATATATCATAGCAAACATGGAAGTACTCAGAATTCGTAAATCACACGTAACATAAGTGTATGTATTATCTGTTTCTCTATTCCTTTGACATCGTGAGCGGGAGGTGTGCCAAATTTTTGCCCCGTTGTCTAAGTCTGCAGCTTGGACACCAGATCAAAAATGAGGCAGATACACCGAGCTGTTCCGGATCAGGTTTTTCCTACGGGAGATATCTCGAGGTTCTCCTGATCCACATAACAATTGTCATGGAAAAATGCAGAGCAGTTGTTAGGGCCCTCCCTCCTTTCAATCCTATCCCAATTTCTTTCCAATATCAAGTGCTAAGTGCCCTAAGTAGTGCCTCTACAAGAGAGCCAAACGTAAAAACACTATAACATAAAAAGAAGTATATGTATTTTATGCACGTGCGTGCTTGAATACGTAATAATAATACAAATTTTTACAATTTAATATTGGATTTTTAAAGACCTAGTCAAATTAGGCTTAGTCCAATTTTCTCAGTTTCTGTTATACCAAGTTGAATAATATTTGAGTTGGAAGTTTCACTTCTACCAGGGGTCCCGAGACCCACACCTGATTTTTATCTGTAAATGATTCACAATCTACATGTAATGGCTATGCAATGCCTAAAATTGTTTGCAAATATGTTTAAATTAGTGGGCTACACGTAGTTAGTGGTGAATTTAAGATTTTTATTATCGTAACCTCAGAATTGTTGTTAAAAAATAATTCTATTTTATGGAGTCATCGATTAATTGTACCAAAATCTTAGCATGATACTATATCAATCAAATGACATTATGGTTATATGAGTATAGTCAAAATTATAATGCTGGTACGATCCTACGTATATTGGCCCACGATATAATACATACATGAAAAACGTTACTAAAAGATGTTAATCATGCTGACAACATGGTTATATCCCACTACAGGCTAAACTGAATGTCTGGAAATTGCCAGATTCCTTCAATTTACGAAGTCATGCCGATTTTTAAGGACTGATTCAGAACTCTGCGTACTTGATTATTACTTACGATCACTCTGAGTTGGTGGATATAGAACAAATGCATGGTATTACGAAAAAATTTACAGTTTTAGCTTTAAAAATTTTTTTTTTAGCATCGGACCCACCCATGTCAATAGTTACTGATAAGGTCTGGCTTCTATTTCAAGTGAATTTTTATATAAGAATGATATTAGTTATTACTTAGTCACCCCACATCATTCGGCGATCAATGGCACAGCAGACAACCTCATTAATATATGCAAAAATAAATTGAAGTTATTTTATTAGACAGTGACAGAAAGTAATAATCAAAGTCACATATTTATTTAATTACAGATTAACTTTGAAAGAGAATTATTTTCCGTAGAACTCCAAATTGACAGGAAATTTGTGAAGGGCTTCGATTTATTAAGATTTAATGCAGGATTTTTTATATTGAGCAGACAAAGGGCTCAGAAAATATATTTTTACGGAAATATAAATAGAAGTAACAGTTTTGAAACAAATAATTGTGGTATAGCAAAAAATGCATAATCAGAAGGTGAGAGTTGAAATTTTTGATAAGCCAAATTTAGTTACTTATGTGGGGAAAACAGAGGATAACTTGCTGTGGGCTACGTCCAGTAAAAATTTTAAATCAAAGTAGTATTTTTAAGCCAGTTGTTGAAAAGTCAGTTGTGACTTATCGTTTTATAATTATCTGTTAAAAAAAGTTAGATGTGCATAAAAATAATCTACGGTGATGTAAATANTAGTTTTTTTGCTAAATAGAGTCTAAATCCTCACAATTTAGCTGATTTGACTGATTGCATGTACTTTTCTTTTCATATTGTATGATAACTTAGTTACAGTGATGAGTAATAATAATGGAACTATTACTTTATAATTATCTGTTAAAAAAAGTTAGATGTGCATAAAAATAATCTACGGTGATGTAAATATCTTTGTAAACATTTTTAAAGTCAATCTATTTTAAAAGTATTCTGATACTACATATGATTCATTTATCTTTAAAACAATAACAATATCTGCTATTCATGAATGTCAAGCCTGTATGGGCTATTTTTTTCTGAGATGGTTTATAAATAGTTTTGTATCTTATTTTTTCATATTGAATTGAATATAAGCAATCACAAATCATTGAAAAATTATTGCACAACAACAAAAAATTGAATCGTTCATAATTTCAAACAGTTTTCAATCGTTCTTAGGTCCAACATGTTTAACCAATCCAACATGTATGTTTAACCAATATTTTTGATAAATACTAAGTTTTCCTTTTTTTCATAAAACTTATAAGAAAGAAGACCTAAATATATTCATATGACATTTTATTGACTAGAAGGTAACGTGTATGCTTCCTTAAAAATAACAAAAACTTAAAAGTTTGAAACTATACTAGATTGTATTCATTCGGAAATATGGGTTTAAGAAAATCATCATGAGCAGAAATAGAAGGCTCGACAGATGAAAAAAAGAGAAATAAGGTGATACACTGTTAAAAAACTAATTTTATTTTTATACCTTTACTCATAAGTGATCGTTTAATTGTCATTCAAACACATATATACATGAAAAATAACTTGATCATTACCAAACAATATCGTATCAGCGCACCAGATGGCGTTAATATCATGCTTATCCATGCTTACGTACAAAATATTAATCTTTTTTTTACGGAAAAACAATAGACCCTCAGTACTACTTTTACATTCAACACAACAAATAAAAGACTTTTGCGAATTATCCTTCTCATGGTAGTTGTGATAGTAGGTATAAAATTAGTTACAATGAATCACTGTTAAATAAAGTCCTAACAAGACAAAACACTGAAGATTTAAACTTTTTTTTGCCACTATAAAGACACAAAAAAAATGACAGGAGTAAGAAACACAAGCAAAATATTGACGGTTGACTGTGTGGTGGCTTCACTGAAGGTTTGCTTATCTAAAATCTTGCACTGCGAGCTTTGAAAGGTCTTAACATTTCCCATAGAGTCTCGTGCCAAGACGCATATCTCGTACTTTAAATTGGGATCTGGAAGCGGTCTTATCTTGAATGAACGCTCTTTATAAACGATATTTTTTTCCAAAATGTTTTTACTGCTACCTGGCTCTCGTACAATTAAATAAAAATCACCTGTATCCCCACGATTTGTTACGTACCACGATACTGTCCACACCTCATCATCACTATCGCTAAAAAAATATCAACATTATGTACAAGACGGTAGTAAGTATAAACTTATCTATTAAATACACACTTGACTGCATAAGTTTACGATAATAACAACGTATCAAACATTTAAAGCAAGTATTAATTCGTATAAATAAATAAAAATGTACAAAGTCCGATGTAATAAATTTTCAAACAAATAGTCAATAGGAGAAAATAAGTAGAAAAGTCAATAAATAACCAAGAGACATCGAAACTGATCTTTCTAATCTAGATTTCATAAAAAGCTAAGCTTACTATTCTATATCTCGGTATTTTACATCAGGAGAGATATCATATTTTGGATTCTTCATAATATCTTTATTAGGACAACTCATTAGCAGCTCTGAAACATCCTGTAAAAGCAAATCAGCAACGTAGTTGGGATTCGCACATTTTACACTTGCCCAATGCATAGGAATCTCGGTAAATGTATCAAGCCACCTTCGCAGAGGTCGTACGTAGCAGTCACAGTGCAATGGATTACCTGTAAAAGAGATTTAACTGTGATTCTGAAAAATATTACTGCTATTGTTAATTTTACATGCTTTCATAGACTAAACAAAAATTTAGTATTATTTTGTAAACAAGGACTGTCACTCTTACTAGAGCTATTTAGAGATTTCATTTTCACCGCTCGCTTTAAAATGTCCAGTAAAGCAAAATTTTCAACAACACAGAAAATAAACTAATTATTTAACTTATTTTTGGTCAAAATACCAGCATATTTAAGTATGGTTCCATTGTTCAAAACTTTAATGAGAATGTCATCAAAGTTACGAAAGTTGTTATACTCTAAATCTAATAGTCTCAAGTTTGGCATTGCTACAATTTTTTTCCAAGGAAGGTGATTAAAACGATTGTGACTTATAACCAGATTTGTTAAATTTGGTGGTAGTGAGATGAAGTCTTGCTCAGATAGATCTGTTAACTCATTGTGGGATAAATCTAAAGTTACCACTTCCGTCAAGTTTCCAATAACATCTGAAATTTTAGTTATTTGAATTCTTTTTCAATATTTATCATAATTGAATGATTTACTTACATTTTCTTATTTCGTTAATGTTGTTGTCACTAAGATTCAAATAAGTTGATTTCCTTGTTCCTAAAGTAAAGTCAAAACTAAGTGCCTGTATACCGTTCTGAGACAGATCTATTTCTCTTATTCTGTATGGAACCCATGGATTATGAGGAAATGTCTTACTAGTAACATGAACAATCTTGTTATGACTGAGATTAATTTTTTCAAGTGACAAGCAGTCATCAAGTAGCCCATGTGTTTTATTATCAAGCTTTTGTAATTTATTATACGAAAGGTCTAAATTTTGTAACGAAACTAAACCTCGAAAAGCACCGTTTGGTATGTGCTTGATTTGATTAGAAGTTAATTTTAAGGTCAATAGTTGTAGAAGTCCTTCAAATGCCCGCTCACTTATAACATGAATTTGATTATGGGCAAGATTGAGCTCGAATACAATGGGAAGCTTACCAAAAGCTGCCTTATTTAAAGATGTCAAATTGTTATCCTGAAAAATTTTATCTTTTATTAAATAACTATAAATAATTAACTATTTAAAAAGTAGTAGAAAGAAAATTTATCTTTTAAAAAATTTTTTTTTCTTGTTTCGAAAGACTAAAATCATAACACTATAAAAAATAACTTATTTGTGCCTAATCTTCTGTCCAAATTTTTTTTTTATGAGTATTAAAAAAAATGTAGTTAAGTATCATACAAAAGTACAGGATTCAAAAACTTTTCCTTTTCATATCCATCATGATATCCTATAGTATGGCGATGCCAACGATCCTACAGCAATATACGCTTATACCACAGATCACACTTCCGCAACTCTACAACGTTGATAAATTTGATAATTATTTATGACTAAAATATAGTTGAGCTTCACATTATTAGAGTAAATGCAATTTTTGACACAGGAAGAAATGGAAGACTCTTACCCCCGAAATTAGGGAGACGGAGACAAAGTACGATTTTTGGTAAGCAAACAACTGAAAGGAAAGTTAAAAAAAATAAGTAAATAAACAAATAAATTATTTCCTCATTAGTTTTTTTGCTAAATAGAGTCTAAATCCTCACAATTTAGCTGATTTGACTGATTGCATGTACTTTTCTTTTCATATTGTATGATAACTTAGTTACAGTGATGAGTAATAATAATGGAACTATTACTTCATCAAAATAAACATTTATTTGGTTGGATTAAATAAAAATAAGTCTGTTAAGTGTAGCTTTTTGCAATAAAAAATAATTTGGAGGCAAATCTAAAAGCTAATCTACATAAATTAATCGATCAATACACTCTAAGGTTTGGGGCATAGTACTCTTGGATAATCTGTTACTGTTAACTTGCTTATGATATAATGATTTTTACAATGCAAAAAAAAAGTATGAAATACTGACTAAGTTGTGAAGTTCCTGTAAGTTCTTATCTAATTTTAGTGAGTGTCTTTTGAGGGTCTATGATACTTAACAAACTCCATCTCCAAATTAACAAAAACCAGAAAAGGAAGTTATGCATTCTTCAAAGCAATACTTTTATTCAGAATTGATCCTGAAAACAAAATTAATGTGTTTCACCGGTAGCAGATAGTTCATTCTCATCTATGTAAGAAGAATGAAGAAAATTGGAGGTGAGCAGTTAAACTATTTTATACTTAATCATAAATTGTAATTGTTTGTGTATCCAATATGTAGTCCAAATGATTTACATAGCAAATAATGAATAAGTTAACTTCTCACAGAACAATTACTTGTGGCAAGAAATCTAACTATATTATAACTTTGTACGATGATTAAACAAATTTTGAGACAAAAAAAGCTGGTCATAAGTAGCCCAACTATTTTTTTAGGTATGAATAATATTTTAGTTGATCCTTAAGTGACATAGAGATACTTGAATAGAGTTTGCGATGCCTGTATTAAAGGCCATACTTTATCGTGGCATAAAAAGTGAGAAAGAATACTGCCGAAAATCTCCCTATTGCTGTCTTTTTTTAATCAGTTTAAACTGTAGAATTGTATAGTTAGGAAATGATAGTAATAAGTGTTCTCTTTTACTCCTCGTATTAGGCAGCCTGGTTGGTAATGTCCTCTTTTCTAATGGTCTATTTCCTGAAATATTTTGCAACTGTAAAACTTCTGGCATAAAAGGAAAAACTCAATTATCTGCAGGGTTTCCCCAAGCGTACGAAAAAAATTGTTTTGGAACCTTTAATTTTTTAACAATTTATAAAAATTAACAACTTTTTTCAGTTTTCTGCTCATATCTCCGCTTTTATGAATGCTAGATACATTTTATGATAGTCATCATTTTACCATGAAATTTTCTACTAATAAAATTCTGTATCAAATCCATTTTATATTTTTTATAACGTTTTGATTGCAAAAAATTACAGAAAAAATTTAGTTACGTAAAGTAAAATCTTTTTAACAAATTTTGGTGCCACGCAAAAAAATGTGTAGCTCTTCACTAACCTTACACAAACTATTTTGCAGATAAGCAAAATACTACATAGTTTTTGTAGATCAATTTTTAAAGTGAATCTTCAAGGTCTGATTCTGAATGGTACAAAATAATATACATGTAATTTGATTTTAATAATCACATTGGAGTAAGTCCAATGTATAATTATCACGAAAAATTTTTTTTTCAATTTCTCACTATTATTCAAATAGTTAGGTTAAATTCTGGCACAAATTTGGCTAGATTTTCCTGGACTACCCATTGTCAGTACATAAAAGTCTATAAATTACCTAAAATTGACCGTGTGTTAATAAACTATACCATGGTCGCCAAACTTCCGATTGTTATAAATATATTTTTATCTTGAAGTTAACATCTTAAGGTAAAATTAAAGCTCAGGTGAGTTGAAAATAATGCCACAACGGCTGAGTTCATGTGGTCGAAAATTTCAAAACAACGCGTTTTTTCAAACTTAAGGAATTTTTTACTGAAAATCTGTGGGGCTTAGGTATATATATTCCAATTAAATTTTTGTTTAACTATGAGACTGCGCCCCCTGCTTGCTCCGCGCGCCAACACTCAAAATCTTATCAAACACTCATTTTCTACATTTTTAAAGAAAAATACAATAATTATATATTTGTCCTAATACTTAATATTATAATAATCTTTCTCAACTTATAAATTTGAACAACTTTTTACTAATTTTTCAAAAACTCATTTTCAAATGTACCCACGCTTGATCAGTCTCAGCCACTCACACAACGAATGAACAGGTTTCATCACATGACCCATCATTTTTTTTAAAATAGAAAATGTGCCAAAGAATCGGAATGAATGTTTTGTTTATTAAAATTGTAAGAAGTTTCTATTTGCTTATACAATTTGTTAATAACAATTATTTACAGAAAAATAAAGACAAACGCAATGGTTTTTAGGAATCAGGAGGTCAAAATACATCGAGTAAAAAAAAAAATTCCATGGATTTGAATCTTTCACGGGCACTTATCAATAAAACCTAACTAATACTTGTTATGTCAGACATTCACCACCCACATTAATTATTTTGCTATTTGATTTAATTCATATTTACAACTATTCATCTATTTTGTTATTTAATTTTAATATACAATCAAACAAAAATACTTTCCTGAATTTTGTATTATATCAAAAGTTAAAAAAAAATTTATTTTCGTGCTATGTATTATTCATATCCTCCCTTTAAACTTATGATTGTATCAACAATTTCTCGATTTTAGATACCGTAAAAAATACTGCAAGATCTTAAAAGTATTATTATAAAATTTCAATTAATTAAAATATCGGCTTTTTCAACTATATTTACTAAAACTTATTATCAAATTCACCTGCTTTCTATGAAAGTCGTCTTATTACAGAATCAATAAGAAAGTTTTAATCACGTGACAGCCAAGCTATTATGACAGAAAGAGTATCATTGTATACTACGAGAAAATGCAAATATATCGATCGTTTTTTATATTTCTTTTTTTCTAACTAACGGCATTTTATTAGTCGTAAAGAAAGTACAAAATTAAAAAAAACAAATTATCTTAGCTTATTCTTATTTATATTAAAAGATAATCTATTTAATAATATTGATATCACTTAGTTAATATTATTCAACAGGAAAAAAAAAAAAAATTATGTGTGTAATTTTTTTACTTATTTACTGATTTAAAAAAAAATGTAATAATTCTATTTACACAAAATATCTAAATTTTATTTGATATAGATTGGTCTTTCCTGTACAACGACTTATTTACTCTGTGCACAAACGGCAAAAGCTGGAACTTTGACACCTAATTCGCATTTAAAATACGTGTATTAGTGGATACTAGCTCCAAATACATAGGTTTGTCACTAGTGTCGACTAACATATGTAGTTTAAATGGAAATTGGGTGTCAAAACTTCAATTTTTACCGGTTGTGCATGGAGCAAATTACAGTTATCAAAAAATACGTACGTAACTCAACGCCTCTCTTGAGGACACCTACAATCGTTTTTTATGGTCTATCTTGCTTCCTTTTTAATCATGGCGTATTTCTTATTTAATATTTGTAGCTTACGTGACTGTATGAACATGGAAAATCATTTGTGCATTATTTTAATTCTATATAAAACATAACATAATTTTTTTTCAGAAATTTCTTCCTTTATTTTATGAAAATACAACGAAAGCATTTAAAATTTGAGTTTATGTTCTTACACAACTCAAGGTTTTTTTTGGGTGCCACGATGTTTTTTTTCACTTTTGAAAACCTATAGAAAATCTTGCTTCTTTTTCAAGATATAAATAGGTTTATATTGTATAACACTGGCATCGACATTGTCTCTGATACTGCCACTGTCACTGTCACTGTTGGTTATTACTCATACTTAACATGAAATTTTATTTAATAATATAGTTTTTGCAATAACGTTAAAACCGTGTTTTAGAAAAACGTGCAAAGCGCGATGCGATGCTAAGCGCTATTGTTACTTTTCAAGCGTGTAACAGCACAGACGTTTCACGCGTTGAGAAATAATACCAACTATACTTAAAGAGTGTGTAAGCCCATTTACAAGAGCCCCAACGCTGCTTGCAAGGTGACGCACAGTGTGATGAGACTATCACAAAGTAGACAAGAGTCTGGATTAAATCTAATCTTACAGATACGTAGAGGTTTTTGAGCTTAATTAAATTAATCTTGATATGATTTTCTCAGAGATACAATGCTAACTTTTTCAAAAAAGATTGATGATGTGACGTGTATGATTATGTAGAAAAAGTAGAAGTGATATTTTGTTACTTTAGAAAATAATTTTTGTATCTAATCGTATATGTATGTGTGAGAGACGGGTGAGTGTCATTGGAATCGTTTCGTCACTGTGTGAGTGTGTACCGTACAAGCTGATCAATCCGTTCACCGCTACTCTGCGTTCGCTTTTTACACGTGTTAAGGACGTTTATTACAGTTAGAGGGGAAATTTAAATAGTGCAGTGAGGGGGCAGTGAGCACGTGGCAGCGCCGGCAACTAT